ATTTTTCATACTTAGTCAATATTTTTACATAAAATAACTTTTCATCTATAATATGAATGCATGAAAGAACCTAAGATCAATCTAGGTAAAAAAATCTTAGATGTTCAATCCACTATGGTGTTAAACCTTATTTGGTTTTTGTTAAAACTTATTGAAAATTAGTCTATGGAGCTATGAACTAGCTTGGTTTATATGATTTAATGTTTACTTTTATTTCTAGAAAGACTATAGAAATTGTAAGTACCAAAAAAAAAAATAATCACTAAATTTTAAAGCTAATAACTTTAGCTAGCCCACCCGTTGAAAAATTTCTGGTTCCGCCCTTGATTATGGCATGGTTGTTTATGAAATTTAGGAGGTCACATGTGCAGAAATAAAAGATGACCCTCTTTTAGTTTAATATCAAAGGACTTTTGAACTAGAAATGGGTTCTTCTAATTTGAGGTCAAATTGCCCCAATTTTAGTCTAATTAATACTCCTATTAATAAGAAAACCAGCTATAAGGAGTCCCCTTTGGTTTTCAGTCCAACTTAACAAAGAGAAAAACAGTAGATATAAACAAAAATAATGTACTAGTGGGGCGTTAGTTGGATTGACCCTAGCTTTTGGTATGCTCCACGTGGTCTTGGATTCAAGCTCCTATTGTGGTACTTGTATATGTAAGTTGCCCCTCTCCCCTTAACTTTAGCAAAAACAAAAACAGTGCAAATACGAGAAAAACATATGAAGTAGGAAGCATTTGGAACTGAAAGGAACATTAAACAAACAAACTCCATGATGAACTATTTACACCAGATGAACGTCGCATCACGGAGGAGTAACAAAGCTAGGCAAAAAAGTCTGGGAAATTTGAAGAACCCCACATCTTAAACTTAAAGGGGTGAGACAAAATGTCTTGTGATGAGCCTCTTTATCGTTGTTTCCTTCTTTTAGAATTAATTCGTTCTTTTTTTCTTGTTGGGCCGTGTTTTGGGCCCCTTTGTTCTCTACCAATTGGTTTGCCCTGTGCCACTTCGCTTTGCTCTGCGCTTTGTTTGATGTTTTCCTTGCTACTCATTTCTCCTGTTATTCAGAGGTTCCGCTGTTTGAAACAAAAATTATCATTATTTCTCTAATGTTTTCTTCGAAAATAATTTATCAGCTAGCTGTCTCCTGGCTTGTTATCTATATATATAAAAGAAGAATACCTCAAACGGTAAAAATATTGGTAAATCCAAAAAATACTCTTGATTAACTAAGGTTTTAAGAAAAGAGACAACAAATTAATACATACATGCACCCGAGGTCCTGTATTTGAATTTTCCTTCTCTAATATCACTTGTATAAAATATTAAAAAAAAATTGAAACTACAATTGAAAGTTACACATAGCAAACTGAAGACAAAGTAATACATGCTACGAATTAATTACCCCATAGAACCATATATGAATGGTCAACAGAAGCAATTGTTGGCATAACTTATGGACTAATGACTTTCTTTCCTTGCATACCAACGATTCTCATTATAATTGTAATTGATTTATTTTAATTCCTGATTTCCTACCGTAAATAGAAATATGAATTTATTATTTTACATGATCACTAAGGTTCCGTAATATGACCTCCTACAAAAAGAAGAATATGCAGAAAATTCTCACAGACAAATATTCTCTCATAATTCTCGTATTTTACCAGCAAGTGCTATGAATTATTTGAATCTGTTCATGTTCATGCTCACATGTACAGGTAGGTCAAACCTTTACAACAACAACAAAAAAACTTCAAATAAACAATGTTTGTATTTAATTTATGCCTCACAGAATATCAGGGTATCCAAAGTTATGACACTCAGAACAAACATATGGATAATCTGGCAGCAGGAAATGGAAGTTTTGTTTGTCCTCTGGTGGGTGGTGGTGGTTAAGATTTCATATCAGTTCTTAATTATTAAAAAATACACATAATGAAACAGCAAATGGACCCAGTAATGTTACTTGTTTCAGATGGGTGTTTGGTCATGGTCATCATAGACAAAATGTCATAATGTATCCAGCTAATGTAAGGTAGATTGTTGTTTCACAATAGTACTTTATGTCTGACAAAATTCTATGACATAATCTGACATAAACTCTTTTTCTTGGGTCAAGAAATCTAACATAAACTTATTACCTTTTTCCTCTCTGTTTTTTTTTTTCCTTGTTTCTTTTCCTAACAATTTATGAACCAACTAGAAATAGAAATGGTTTCTAGATGGGGCCTTTGGCATCATTATGTCATGATAATTTGCCCCAATTTTTATTTTTTAAACTCATACAGACGGGTATCATAGGAATTTGAACCGAGGACTACTTTAAAGCACACCAAAAACTTAGACTAATCTAACTAACACCCCGTTGGTGATATAATTTGCCCCAATTAATTCCACAGAATCATGTACAAGCCGTTTTAAAGTAAACCTTAACTAATTTAAATGTTTAACTAATAAGGTTGAAGGTTAAGATCAACACTGTCTCAGAATTTGATACCCAAAAAAAAAAAAGTGGTGGCTGTGCTTTACTAATAAATTACTTAGAAAATGGAGTGCTCCCAAAACAAGTATTTCTTCGATGACTGTTAGTGTAGTTAGGGGAATATGAATGCACAGAGAAACAATGAATAATTAAATAAATAAAAACTCTGGAATTTGAAATTCCCTTTCTTTCCATCAACTTATTCTTTGGCAAATCATATACAAATTGGATGGTACTTGATATAATTATGTTTCCAAATAATCAAAGGTAGCTTCAGTTTTGGAAGTAGCTAAAGAAAATAATTCAAAGTACATGGAAAAAGGTGTGCGGTGATCATTGTGACTAATAAACTTCTTGATGTTCTTGTTAGCATGTAAATTCAAAAGCAGGTGTAGGAATCGGCCCTCGATGATTGAAGAGCAATTACGGCCTCATCTTTTTTCGACTATGATTAATTAGAAATTAGAAGTATATATATGATTTATGAAAATAAGTAGTAAACTTTAAAATTCCTCAAAATCATCATGATATATTATCCACTTGCATAGTTAGATAAAATATTAAATTGTATGAAAAGGAAGGTTATGGCCTATTAGACGAAATCAATAATTGGAACATCACTTGAAAGTTGAAACTGGAAAAAGCTAAATTGGCTTTGCAATTTGCCTTAGAGCATTTACAGTGGGAGGGTGTATTTTCGGGGGTGTAAAGCCACTTTTACATCCCCTTTACACCTCCGGGGGGGTGTAAATAAGTTTTTTTATCTAATGAGAAATGATGTAAATCTAAATATGTATAATTGATTTGTTTGTCTTAATTCATTTTTGTGCTAAATTTGTATTTTGTGTTTACTTTATCAAATTCATTTTTTTTTTTGTATTAGGTTAATTTTATTTTTTCAAACAAATAGACTTAAAAATATTTAAATTCGGAGAAGATATGATTTCATCCAAAAATCCCCAAAATTGCTCCACATGTGAATTTTTTTCAGCGATTACTGTAGCAGCGGGTTCTACTCTTTTATAATGACTTTTCTCCACTTTTCCTCTTCTTTTCTCGTGTGGGTCCCATGT